TTATGCCCAAACTATTCTTTAGTGGACCCCCGTTGAATAACTAACTAACTTTATTATAATTTAGTTACATTTACAAGTGATATTTAAAATTTAACAGATATGAAATCACTCACCTCTTAACTGTATGGGCAGCACTGATATTTAACAATCACTGTTAAATATTTGCACTAGTCTGCAAAACCAATAAGTTGTTGTTGTTTGCCTATCCTAGGTTTACCTATGGGCATGCTGGCACTGTCTACAAGGAATTTGTTTATATCTCCGGGGGCCATGATTACCAAATTGGTCCCTATAGAAAAAATCTCCTCTGCTATGATTACCGCACAGATGTCTGGGAGGAAAAGCGGCCAATGATCACTGCTCGGGGGTGGCACAGCATGTGCACCTTGGAGGACAATATCTATTCCATTGGCGGCAGTGATGACAACATAGAAACTATGGCACGCTTTGACATTCTGAGTGTGGAGTCTTACAGCCCTCAGTGTAACCAGTGGACCAGAGTCTCTCCCTTGTTTCAAGCAAACAGTGAGTCTGGAGTGGCAGTCTGGGAAGGCAAGATTTATATTCTTGGAGGCTATAGCTGGGAAGACACTGTCTTCTCCAAAACTGTCCAGGTATATGACAAGGAGAAAAACAAGTGGTACAGAGGAACTGACCTTCCCAAAGCTATTGCTGGTGTGTCTGCGTGCGTCTGTGCATTGAAACCCAGAAAGGAGGACAAAAAGAAAAAGACAAAAACGAAGAAGCATCAGGATCGGGGAAGATGACACAGCTTGGGAACCTTGTAACTAATCATCTCTTTCAAATCTTCATTTAAAAAAAAAAAGAAAAAGAAAACAGTTTCTGAAACCTTAGAGAACATGTGGTCGAACATCTTTGGGTGAGGGTCACGTAAAGGTAACTACTACTACTGAATGGTGGTGAGGTTGCAAAGGGTGCTATGCTACCCATCCTGTACATTTAGGTGTAGACTGTTACTTCTGTGGTTCTTAGCTTTTACACACTTTTATAATAATAATAATAATAGGTAAAAATTTTAAAAAATTGAAAACTTTTTGGCTTAGAAAATTAAATGATGGGGAGGGAAAAGAGGACCAAACATCGGTTTGACGTTGCAAAGAGAAGTCTAGAGGCAGTTGCTATTGAAAACTGATATGGATCTTGTTGTAAATCCTGATTGTTTTTTTTCATTAAATTTTAATTTACAATACTTTCTAGAGTTGTGAGTAAAAGATTTCTGGTATGCATGAGTAGCCATTCAAATTATACCTATGCCCAGGCATCTTGGTAAGCAAATGAGATTTCTGTACTCTTACGTTTCAGAGGATATTATTAAGTGACCAAAGTGTGAGTGCTTCTGGTCCAGACATGGCCATGTAACTGATCTGTGCTCAGTTTGTGAGCTCTGCTGGTCTTTCCAGTGGTGCAATGATCTACAAGACCCAGGGGAGGTGACACAACCTTTACGTCACTTGTTAATGACTAGAACTGTGCACAACTTTCATAACAAAACCCAATAGCAAATTTAGTTTTGTTGATTTCTCCTAGTTCAGGACTAGGTTTTTTAAACTTGTGGCTTTGGGCAGAAGTTACATAGAACTTGGTCCTTACTTTAAACCAGGTGAGACAAGTTGACTTCACTGTGAGTTATTGGGGGTGGGGAAGGGAAGGTGTTGAAATCAAAAGCTTAAAATGAACTCAAGACAAAGAGCAAACACATCCTACAAGGGACAATGGGATGGGGCGGGGGAGTTTGCAGGAGTTGGGAACTGCTGAATTTAGCATAGGTCTAGCAATGATGACCTCTACCAGTCAGTGCAAGGGGCCATTAGCAGCCTCTGGATGGATGAGAATCTAACCTAGCACTCCTTGGTCAGGTGGCTGCAACACTGTTCCTCTTGGAAGAATGGCCTTAACATGGGGAAAAGTTGTGGTGGATTCTTGGGATGTCATTTGGGGCACAGATGACTGAACTGGTGGGAGAATCATATATTGGAGAATCATATATTGGAGTAATATCAAGGGAATTTGACTTATGCCCACCATACTAAAGAAATTTTGACTGCACTTTCACACAAGACTATTTAAAACAGCACTGGGTTAAAGTGCACCAGCAGGATTAACACAGACTGACTAATGCACAACATGTTTGTGCGCTTTAGAAATCACACCCCTGTAGAGTGCATTATCCACCGTGTACAATCCTTCTGTCATTCCACCTTCCACTGGCAGGGTTGTGTCTACTGCAAGTATTTAAATTTACCAACTGTCTGGCCAGCCTTCAAGCAGTCACCCAAAGCAGTTTACAAATGGGCCTTTTGTTTGATTTGCAAGAAGTTAAGAACCAGCCATCTCATACAGTCTCTGTAATTTTTATAATAACAATTAATACTAATTCCAGGCCACAGATTACTCTCTCATCCCAACACACAGAAATTTAGAAATTTTTGAAACTTTTGTACTTTTTATAACACATTTTGCTAATACCTAGTCTCTAGTTTGCCATATTATGTTATTTACTATTGAAGTTCCTGCCTATAATCGTGGTCCTATTGTTATAGTCAGGAACTCATAATTTGTTGGCTCTTTCAGGCTTTGTGTATAGTCAGTTGTGATGTGATGCAGCTGTTAAAGCAGCATTTACATTCTCAGCATTGTCAGGTCTATAATTGTGACTATTGTAAGGCTTTCACTGGCAGTTCAAATAGTCAGACATGCTGATAAATGCCCTTTTATTGTCACTCGGTGATCCACTGAATGGATATCAAGAGCCTTGATTTAAAGTTCTGCTTTGGTGCTATTGATCCATTTTCTCTAAATCCTTCCAAGTCCCTCTCCATCCACATCTCCATCACTGTGCAACATAACCATGTACTTCAGATCTGCCTTTTTCCTTTTATCCCATGTATAAGGGATGTCCTGCCTACTTTTTGCTACTGGGGTGTATTTGCCTCATTAATGTGAAAATTCTTCTAAGAAAAACTTGTTTGCACTATAAAAGAAAAATCATTTTCAACATCATTTGGAGTTTGGGGAATTTGGGGTCCTCTTTATCCATCGATAGGAATCAATTTTTTTTAAATTGGAAGTGGCACCTGGTGAATAGCTAGAATGAAAGAAAGGAAACGAATGATGCTGTGTGACACACAAAGATTTGAAGAAAACTGGCTTGAGGTATATAAGTCGTAAAAATCCTCTGGATATCTTTGAGTGTTTCTCTTAAACAATAGAAACTATTAAATTTAACAAGTTACAAAAAGTCCTCTATGTGCAGTAATGATACCTTTTACATTGCATGAGGAAATAGTTATTTTTTAATTGTTCCTAAAAAGAGATAATGGAACGTTTTAGTTAGAACAAACAGATTAGCTGATTTAGGTATCTGAAAACTTGTTTGTTGACTGGCAACTCCTACTTCATCTTTGTACAACCCTTTTCATGTGTAAATACACAACAAAGATTCCCCAAGACGCTTCTTTGTTTCTACTAATTGGCTGCTTTTCATATTTTTTGTTTGTTTTAATTGTATATGCTTGTGTGTTACATTCTTGATGTGTTTACAATTTGAAAAATAAAACATGTTAAGAATTTCAGACTTTATTCCTCTTTGTGTGCATTGTTTACACCCTGACTGTTTTTTCTCTTTATTGATAACCGGAAAGGTAGTAATTCTTTTTGTAACTATTTCAGAGGTAGTCTCAACAGTGTGAGCACAAATTTTTTAAATTGGACAAGGTATAGGTGGTAGCTGGTTCTACTGTGGCTCAATTAATTACATTTTGAGGGAGCAGAAGCACACTAATTTGTATCTGGCTAATCCAAACACACCAAAAAATGGTTGATGTTACCCCCATTTCTCAGCAAAGCATTTGATAGTCAAAACATAGAGGACCCAGTTCCGTTTCTAATGGAGTCAAAAAGAATATTTCACTGAGTTGGATCAAGCCCTCGTGAATCCATAATATAAAACTTAATTGGTTATGCAAAATATAAGCCCAGTATTACAAACTCTTAGTGGGGGGAGTAACCCTTATTCACATAGCACCATGGAAGTCAGGGGCTACTCATGAGAGTACTTGTAGGATCAGATGCTATTTCAGAATATTTTGGGGTGTACTATGCATTATTTACATAAATAATTTACACCTGTCAAAAGAACAGATTATTACTATTTGTAGCTACAGACCCTAATGGGGGGTCAAGACTCCTAATGAAAGTGGTATCTATCTACTTATTTGTATGGCCTACTCGCCTCATGAAATACATATTAGTAGGGTTATTGACCTATGGCACATTGCATTTTAAAGTGATCTGTAAACACAGCTTCTGCATACTGAAATACTTCGGAATAAGACTCTCACTCTATGATGTCCTGGGATCCTTGCTAAAGCAAGACGTGTATCTCCCAGGAAGAACATTTCTACATGCAGTGACACTGAATTCACACTTTTTGGTATTTTCATAAACCAAATGGGTATTTTGCCAATCAACCAGAAAGCTTGGTTGAGAATCAGAAGGAGAGTGGAAGAGCGGAAGGTAGAATATTGTGTTGTCAGAAACCTTCTGTGCCCATCGCTTTCACAGACTTCATTTGTGATCTTTGTAAATCACATAACTTCTCCTTGCCTCGGTTTCCCCTTCCACAAAAATGGGGATAAGTAACTATTTCTTCTCATTTTGAGAAGGCACCTAATACAAAGTGCTATAGAAGTTCAAGATTTTTATTCAAGCTAGCTATCAAAATGTTCTCTTCCTTTCTTTCCCATACAAATACACCCTGGCATTACCATGTAAAGGAATGAATGTTGGTAACGTCAATATTGGTAATAAAAATGTTGTGGGGCACTCTGAGGAAAAGTTACACAAATCACCCCAGGTCAATAGATGCTTTTGATCTTACCCCAAAATCATGCTGCAGCCAATTCCTTTAGTAATTAAACTATTAATAAAATGAGAGTTATTAAATGGTTAAAGGAATCATGTACCTTACAATTGATTTCAGAGTCTGTAGGTCAGGATAATACGCATTGATGGTGAGTCTGCTGGCTTGCAGTAAGTCTCTCTGGATCACCCAAAAGATTGGGGGTCATCAATCCTTTGTTCAAAGCTTCCTTGTTAGAAATCACAGTCCAGAGAAGTGGAGCAGAATGGAAAACCAAGATGTGCTGTCACAGTCTCCTCTTTTATACTTTCAGCCCACGTGCCTGGAAAGTTACTGGCAAAAAGATGGAGTCTTTGATCATGTCTTTACATGCCTCATTGAGTCCTTGGGCAGCCAATGCCTCAGTTTTCTGTGAAACGTCTCCAGGAGGGGTTCACTGGGCAACCTGATTGTCCTTAATGAGACATCAACCAAGCTAGCTGGCAAATCTGTCTTGGGGCATCACCCAAGAAAACATGTTTGAGATACAACCCCGTTGAATATTAATAACTTCATATACAAAGATGGATTTAAACAGAATAATACTTAGCAGTCTATAACTTTTCCATTCATACCTTACAAGGCATACTTTGTACAAGGTTTATCACCATTGTGCAACAATGGTGATACATTAGTGTAAACAGTGTCACGCCCCCTACATGCAGCAGTGGTTGCTCTTTTGATAAAGTGTTCTCATATAAGCAGCTAGAGCAAGACTAAAGGGGACCAGAGGGTGAAGCAGAAACTGAAATCAAGGACAATAATCTCCTGCCTTTTGCCTACTTCAGTCCATTCTGTTCCTACCACTTTGATCAAAAATAGGCAGTCCACACTGTGTAAAGGCTTCCTTTATCCTGTAGACCAGATGCAGTTTCCAGGGTTCCCCGGTGGATTTGACATTGTCAGGTGAATGTTGCAGCATCTCGTTGAGCTGGCAATCTTTAGCTGGACGGGACTTCAGGGGGTAGAAAGGTAAATTCACAGAATGGTAAATGCTGACATACCTGCCCCCCCCACCCAGTTTTTAAGATTATGGTGGGCCTAATGATGAAGGGAATTGAGAGGTGCAAGAGAGGCTAGGAGGTTGAGATTGTGACAATGCTAAAATTGACTGTTTTGCACTAGAAGGGGCTTGAATTTAAGCTAAGGTAGGTTGAGATACTAAAGGGATTTCATCAGGAATTCTTTACAGAGAATTAAAACATGGAATAAAGTGACACAAACATCTACATGAGCTACTAACCAATGTTTACAAAAAGCATTAGAGGATCAGAGGGAAGAGAAGCTGT